AAAAACAAATAGTTCAACGTTCTTTTAGAACAACTCTGGGGGAAGAAGATGGGTGACCTCTCTGGTAAGTACAATAATGTTAATGATGTGGAGTGGAAAGTTGACCAAATGCAACAGATCATACTTGATTCATACATTTTTGAAACATCATACATCAACATCATCATACATTTTTGAAAATCTCAACGTATGCCTGATGAATCGCACACACAATTTGCATCACGATTAATATCTTTCGAGTATTATTGCAAAATACGCAAAGAAACTGACTTTCAAACATTATCCTAGTTAATTATCGCCGATAAACTTTATTCAACATTACATTATGAAACTCAATCGTATATTGCCATAATTCAAGGTGAAGAATGGTTAAAACCTCCAGAACTTGCTCAAATATGTGATATTTTCTTTACGTCAAAACGAAAATCGCTAAGTGAAACAAAATATAATCAACAAACCTTTAACCATGGACAAAATTTCAGAAGAAATCAACAGAGTCCAAATCACTACCGGCGTAATACAACGCCGCGTCCACAGAACTCTTATTATAACAGCCAACGTATCCACGGTAATAATAATTTCAGACCCGATGGCCCAGAAAAAGTCACCAAAATTTTAGCGAAAAGTTACAGTCACGATAAATATTACAATGAACTGCAGTATGAAGATGTGCTTCTTAACGGTAAAAAAATAAAAGCAATGATTGATTCTGGATGTAATCTGATTTGTGTTAGAGCAAATAAATTAACCGCTACAATAAATAGTAAAGAGAACATTATCTTGACGGGAGCTTTCGGTTCAAAGCAAGAAGTTCAAATGACAACAATAAATTTGGCACACCCAAAAAACAAAATTCCTATTGCACTCAAAGCTGCTGTTTGTAAAAATTTATGCACGGAGTTGATCATCCCCCCCAAAGTACACTGAAGAGCCAAAAAACTGGTATACCTGCCTAATATCGCGTAGGGCCCCCGCGAGCACGCAGAAGTGCAGCAACACGACGTGGCATGGATTCGATCAATGTGTGAAGTAGTGCTGAAGATAATTGACACCATAAATCCTGCAGGGCTGTCCATAAACCAGTGGGAGTAAGAGGGGGTGTGGGGATATGTTCTGAACATCACGTTGCAAGGCATCCCAAATATGTTCAATAATGTTCAAATCTGAGAGTGGATCCAAGAGCACTCTTCTGAATTTAGACACTTCCGCTGGCCACCAAAATCCCCAGAAAAGAACATTATTGAACATATTTGGGATGCCTTGCACCGGGATGTTCAGAAGATATTCCCACCCCTCTTACTCCCACTGGTTTATGGACAGCCCTGGAGGATTCATGGTGTCAATTATCTCCAGCACTACTTCATACATTGATCGAATCCATGCCACGTCGTGTTGCGGCACTTCTGCGTACTCGCGGGGGCCCTACACGATATTAGGCAGGTATACCAGTTTTTTTGCCTCTTCAGTGTATATGAATCAATTCAAATTCAAAGTGAAAGTCAGCAATTGGCAACCTGCCAAGATTCGAACTGTGTTAGAAGCGAGAAGAAAGAAAATACTCTCTCAAAAGTAGAGGTGAAAAATATTTTTTTTCCCAAAAAGAAGAACCCTTTTTCGACTCCGCGTATGGATGGGTGATCTAATGTAAACAATAACAAGCGTCCTTGAACCGGAAGAAATTTAGAAAATTTCCAGTGTATCCCTCCTCTTATGTTATGACTACGAGGCGATGTGTGAACAAGCCTAATATTCTATGCAGTTTTGTTACTGTAATTTGGGTTCAAATCTAAACATAATTGTACCATTCATAGGAGCTTTCAGAAATGTATCGATTCTCAGAGATCGTAAGGCCAAAAAAAATTTTGGAAAGTTAATATCTCATTGTAAATAATTCTTAAGGTTTGCCATGTTTTGTATTTTATCCCTTATTTGGCTACATTTGAATAAAATGTCCCCAAAAATATCTTTTTAAGTTAGCCTAATTAGAAAATATTCTAATGATTATAATATTAATATGATAATGCTGAAGTTTAAAGGCTGAAAGAAAGAACTCGGTACATGTGAAATACTGCAAAAGATATGATGCAATAATATGATGGCGCGTTTTTTCAATCTGCGGCGTAAAAATACATCGGAAGCAGTAACCCGGAAGTCTGGAAAGAGCAATTTTACCATTATCGCCACCAACCTTAGCTTTACACGATTACCCATCCATAATGTTGGATGAAACTGTCTCACCAAAGGTCACCGACCTTGCTCACGAAGATCGGGGGAGCGTCTCAATATGCGAGATGTTTCGAGTTCGAAAATTTCTGATGATCGTGTTTATATTTTTAAGATTGAAAGTGATATTACGCACTACGATGAACCAAATTTGGAACATTTATTAGATCCTGATATTCGGAACACTATTTCAAATATGGTTAAGAATTATAGGCCAAATAAAATTAAGAACACTAATTATGAAATGCAAATTTTTCTTCAAGATGAAATGCCAGTCCATCAACGTCCGCGCCGCCTATCTATTTTCGAGAAATTAGAAGTTAATAAGCAAATTAAAGAAATGTTAAACAAAGGTATAATTAGAGAAAGCACTTCAGATTATTCCGCTCCAATAGTCTTATGTAAAAAACAAGATGGCTCAACTCGCATTGCGATTGATTATCGATGTTTAAATAAGAAGTTAATTTAAGAAAGATTTCCACTCCAAATAATGGAGGACATTTTCGACAGACTACAAGATGCTTCAGTCTTTACAAATCTGGACTTAAGAAATGCTTTTCACCACGTAGACATTCATCCTCAAAGCAGCAAATACACTTCGTTTGTGACACCAGATGGACAATTTGAATTCAACAAAGTTCCTTTCGGCCTTTCCAATTCACCAGCAGTATTTCAATGATTTATACAAATTGTTTCTCGAGAACTCTTAGAAGACGGGACATTGATTTTATATTTGGACGATGTAGTTGTTCCATCAGACGATGAGTCCGAAGGTCTTCAAAAACTCCAGAAAGTTTTCAAAGTAGCTTCCGACTATGGACTTGAATTTAATTTCAAAAAATGTAATTTCCTGCAAAGAAAAATTACTTTTCTTAGACATATTTTAGAAAATGGTTCGATTAGTCCCTCAACAGAAAAGACAAAAGCTGTTTTAAATTTTCCAAAGCTCCAAACAGCTAAAGA